GAATATCAATTACACTCATAAATCTAGTTTTTGATGGGCTTTAACCTGGTATAAATACTTTCTGATATTATCTGTCCTTTAGGTCGTGTAGGGGGGGAGAAAAAGGTTATGTAACACCCTGTAGATAAGCTAACATTTTCCGTAAACATACTTTTTTATAAGAAGTAACAATGTAAAAAATAATAAAACTTGGAACTTTATATAGGGACTTAGTTATTAAAGTTTTTTTTTCATTTAGACATCCTTTGTAGCTGCGAAAATTTTCACAGTTAGAATTAGGTATGCATCGGTTTCGGTTTAACCGAAACCGATGCATATCTAGTTAAAATAACTTCTTCATATCTAGTTAAAATAACTTCAAAATCTTTTCTTTCCTAGACACGATTATGTCCGATGACTATGGCTATGATAAACGAAAGAGGCATGCAAGACAATTGTTGACTCAGGATTTTGATAGAATTTAGTGTCAGAACCTTGAAACATCGTAGCTAGATCACTAAAGATCTCGAATCTTGAGTGCAACAAACAATCAAGAATTCAAGAACTTGATTTTTTGATGCATTTACCAAAATTTTGTGACCAGAGATCTTAGTCACAATTAGTTGCACTAAGAAGTACGATATTACATACTGAAAAGTGAGATGAACGACATATATAGTCCATGTGACCGTTTGATTGGATGGACGAAAAATTGGCAGTATAAAAAAAGATGTCTCTGGTTTATATTCAAATTGAAGAGCATTGCACTCTGTGATGTCGATCGAATTCAAATGTCCTTTTTAGATTGAGAGAGAATTTACCAGACACCCATCTAATAGTAAAAGATATTTCATTTTGTAAACTAAACTACGCGCGCATTTTAATGAGGCACTAGACAATGTACTTTATTTCGACTTCTTCATTGAATCAAGAAGGAAAGCAAAACAAAATGTTGAGAAAATGTCTCGGTTGTTTTCTTCTTGATCTGTTGTACGACTCCAGCAGGTTTCAGGTTGCCTTATAAGCCAGTGGCGGCATGAGAATATCGAAGCAAAAGTACAGAGGATATTATAAAACTCGGAGGGTGTCTCATAAAAATTCTTGTACCCGACTTAACTAAGTCTAGACTTAAGTATATAAAACTAACACGTAAGTGTACAAAACGAAGACTTAAGGCTAGAGTTAGTTAAGTCGGGCACTTAAGAATTTTTATGAAACACCCTCGTGGAGAAAGAAACAAAAAATGTTTTAGAGCACTATTGGACAATTTAGACAAGCTCTATGATTGGGTCGATTTGAATTGGCAAAAAAAAAGTAACAATGTAGAAGTATTAGTTCTGTCTCAGTCAAACGACAGCGACAAAACGGCGAATAGCACTGTTTCAAATTTTATGTCGCTATTTCATTCATAGTTATTGAATGTGAATCAAGTTGTCCGCATAATGGACGAGAATGGGACAGGACTGTAGTCAGAGAAGTTGTTAATATCGGCAGAAAAAACTTTTCTGAAGCGAAAACTACTAGGTTCACTCGACATCCCTCACAGGCTTTTTTCTGTTGAGGGGAGATGGTAGATGGGTACGGCAGGGTCAAAAATTTCTCATATTAAATTTCTTTTTTTTCCTTCCAGCTGGCTGTATCCATTATTTTCGATGTATATGCAGCGCCAAAAATATCAAACTGTGAAAGATGACTGGACTATCCATTGAGTATCATTTATTCCTGTTTTTCTTTCTGAATTTCAGATTCTCTTGAACGAATAAGACTCATCCGATTTCTTATGAATACCACTGGTAGTTCTTCACAAAGGTAATTAAATCTATAATTATCATTCGCTATATATATATATACACTATTTCTGTCGTTTCAGCGAACTACGTCCACCGTTTACAACCGGTGAGTTTGTTTTGAACAATTTTACCGCATTTTTACATGAGCAAACGCATGCGCCAATCTACAGTGCACCCCTAAGAGCGAATAATGAAATATGGAGATTAAGAATCAGTACAGTAAGTATTTATTTTTACTATACAAGGTATTTTACATTGAATGTTTTATTTTATAGAATGCAAGTAGAACACATCTATCAGCATATACTTGGTTAATTACATCGGGTGTAAATTCGAAATATGATTTTTCAATTGAAATGGTCAATCAACGAAATTCACTAAAAAAAAATCATCTTCTTAAAACGTTTGGACACGTCTTCACGACTAGTCGTTATGCTGGTTGGCCAGAGTGAGTATTACAATAATTGGTGAAATGAATAAATGTTATCTATAAACGATGAAGAGATATTTTTCTTAAATCTTAATAAATCCTGGAACGAAAATAAATGTTACTGAAAGAAAGATGTTTTGTTTTATTTGAGACTGCGGTTATTACGAATTGAGATAGAATGATACAATGCCATATCGATCTTGCTCTTTCTTCTAGTTTCTATCCATTGAATCGATTAATAGTCGATGGTTTTCTGGTTAATGATCAGATCAAATTTCGCTATCAAGTTCGTCCATCATCCTATTTTGAATTATATAAAACATCAACACGTCAACTACGAGAATTACAAAATGAAAATGAACAATTACGAGAAGATGTTGATGAAAAAGTAATGGCAAATCAAGTATTACAAGAAGAAATTGCAGAAAAAGAAAGAACAAATGAAGAATTACAAGATCAATTGGAACGAAAAGATAATGAATATGAAATGTTACTTGAAGAAAAACGAGAAGAAAATAAAAGTTTACACATGAAAAATGAACAGTTACAAAAACAATTCAATGATGTAAGTATACATTGTTTGCTGGAAAAACTTTCTATTAAAAATTAAGTTAGAATTCGATTTTCAACTTGTAATTTCGTACTTTCCTTTTTATTTTAGTATAAAGCAAACTTAAACTTGATTAAAGACAAAAAGTACATTCTTTCAACTTGCTCATCGTTTTTATTAAACGATTTCTTTCATTTTCGTTTAGAAAACGTACAATGTCGAGAAAACTATGGAATGATGAGAATGATGAAAGTGAGTGACTTTTATTGTTTCATTATTTTTCAATAAGTTTTCTCTTCTGTTCTACTTATCGATTTCTTGCTTTGATTTGAAGTTTTCATTTACTGTTAGATTTTAGAATTGAACTTCAAAAAACAAATCAAAAATTTTAAACCCGAGTAGTTATTTTTTCAAAAAAAAGTTGTAACGTTTTGAGAGATTTCTAAGACACATTTGATATGCAGGAGTGAGAAAATAATGAGCTTCTAAATAGTACCAGCAGTTTTTGTATTTTTGCACAAAAATATGCAGAAGATATAACAAACAATTGAATTCTTTTATATTACAGATGAATTTTCAACATTACCATCTCGCAGTAAAAAAGATCGAATTATTTTAAATAACAGTGGTGGTAATAAGAGAAGATCAGCAAGATTGAAGAAGAAAAAGAAATAATCAACTTGTGTTGATTTTTTTAGCGGTCATTTTTGTTTTATTTAATCACGATAAGAACAGTGTCCACTTTGTTTGTATATATATTCTATTAATTTAATTTTAAACATTTATTCCACTTTTTACTAGGTGTTTTTGATGACCTTTTCTTCGTCGTTCAACTTTGTAACTATCTGTATTTTAGTTCATGATTTTTATTTTATATCTACGTATCACATTATTTTTTTAGTCTATTGAAGAATCTCTTTGTATTTTATTTTCGCTGTATTAATCAAAGATTTAACGTTTTTCTTTGTAAAATTGAGATAACTAAACAAAAAAGATATACGATTTTAGAATATGGGCAAGGATTTTTTAGAGAACGGAATTAGGGTTAAAAAGAGAACGGCTGCCTATTTATCAAAATCAAATAAAGGGTCAATTTTGGAGTAATTAGAGAATGGTCACAATTATAAAACGAAAAAGCAGAAAAGAGAACGGAGTTAGAGCTGAAGAGAGAACGGTTCAGAATTCCGAGTTCAAAGGACTGAAAAGAAAACGGTCATATGTTCGAAGAGTGAATTATGATCTATATTTCTTGTACATTACATGCAAAACAATATTGTATAAAAAAGTGCAAATATATATGATATTTCAAAAAAGTAGAACAAGATTAGATTTTTTTTGTCTACTACGCAGAAAAATATTCCGTTGATTTGGAATTGCATATTTTATAACACTTTGAAACCATCTTACGAGGGAACCAACCTCTTGAGGTTATAAATCGCTTTTGAACTCGGACCACTTGTATCTTGTAGACCTCGAAGCGATGACATAATCAACAGAATAAGAAAACATAAGTGAAAACGATGTGTTACATTTGTTGGTAGAGCAGTTGGAAATAAGTATTTGTAAATCGAATATAGAACTGCTATGAATAACATGACTTTACTTTAAATCTTGAAAATACTTTATTCGAGCTTTCGCCAGCTTTCAGTTGGCATCATCAGGAATGTAATAGACATTCGAACAAACGATGGTATAAAAAGAAGCGAATAGATAAGAAGGATAGAACAGAAAAAGAAGAAAAAGAAGAAAAATAACTCAAGGAGAGCTTGTAGTTGGCATAGCTATGCCAAATTAGTATTTAATGGTCGAAAAAAGATCGAGGTGTCGGAAACTGTGTGGTCGATTATCTATTAAACAGTCATTAAAAACCTATCCAATGTTTGTTAGATGGACAAACTGACATTTAATTGCAAACGTTAAATGCTAGTTTTTTGTCCTGGTATTTTGATTGTTCCAAAATGGTATGTTAACAGATAATTCATGACGATGTAAATTTTTAAGAACATACAGTTAAATGCATATTTTCAGGACGTAATTCAAGGTGAAATAATGGATAAAAAACGGCGACTGTTAACAGACTGTTTTTTAACAGAGTTCAGCTGATTAAAAGACAATATTTTTATTATGCAATTAGCAGGCTATGCAGGAGTTATTGAATGTCAGTTTTCATCGACATTTGCAATTTCTTTTCACGAAGTGTAGTACTAAAAGTTTAAAGTCGGATTTTACTCAATTGACGAAGTTTTTCAAATCAGAATATAGCAAATAAACTACTTCTCTTAGATAATGAGATTATGCTCTTCCCTGTAGTCAGGTTGATGTCATAAGCCAAATTTACCACACTGTAAATGACAATTATTCTTAGTTGAATGTAAAATCGACTTTAAAAATGCTTGAGATTTTAGACGTTTTATATAACGTTCAAAGATTTTAGAACTCATGCAACCGATTTATAAAATCAATATTCTTGAGCTTTTATAAAATGTTGGAGCATTTTCCATTTTACATAAAACGAAGAAATTAGAAAGATTTTTGGTTTATTACGAAACCAAGTACAAAAATCAATCGACTTTTGCTTGATTCCAGACATTTTTTAAAATTAGAGCGTATTTTTGAAAAATCAACACTGTCTAATCAAATTTTTAATGATGGCGGAGGCAGCGTAACTCCTCTGGTGGTGATTGTCTTCATTGAAGCTTTGTTTTTTTATTAGTTATTTATAAGTAAAGTACGCTCACCATTCTGACTCGCTTGATCCTTGGCTTGTAAGGTTTGTTTTATATGAGTGCACATGACATGTTCTAGAAAGTATATGCGCAAAGAAGAAAAGCGTCCCCATCGCCCTCATGGCGAAAAACTGACGTTTTTTTTCGTAATTCGAGTGAAACATCGTTCTTCGATAATAGTAGCTGATATTAACCAGTCATTTTTATAGTAGCTAAACAATGCTTAACAGTCGTCGAGTAAATATCTCGTTACATCGCTTTACTTAGGCATTCATTCTATGCATACTCTTCGGCTAATACGAAATGGTATTGATTCAGAAGATTCTTATTCCGCCACATTCTCCTTTGAATACGCTTTTTTCACTCATAAAAGAAGCTCTTTTCTTTGGTAGAAGCTGTACAAAGCAGAGTGTAGCTTTAATCTTTGACTTAGTGACCAATTAACTAAAAAAAAACTGATGATCTGGCTATCCAAGTGTAAGATAAAGTGGTAAAACTTTGCTTACTGTTATGACTACTGCTTTGCAGTCAAAGATTCGTAGATATTTTGCCACTTATCACTTTAACGATTCTGTTCAGATGAGAAAGACGGTACTAGCCGTGGTATATCAGGGGCTGCTCAACAACCTTATCCCCAAGCCGGCACTTACGTTCAGAATCCAACTGTGATTCAACAAACTCCGATGGCATTTGTACCAATGATGGGTGATTATCCGACACAATGTACGTGTCCCAATTGTGGAGCACTAGTTGTGACGAGAGTAGAAAAACAAAATGGCGCACTCGTCTGGATTGTTGTTATTGTATTACTTCTTTTTGGCTGTTGGCTTGGATGCTGTCTTATTCCTTTGTGTATCGACGACTTGAAGGTAGGAATGAGAAAAATACATTAACTCTATACAAGTCATAGCTCTATCTTTGTTTATTCTCTACATATTTAGGATAGTGACCATTATTGT